CCCATCCCCTGCTCACTGCACCCCAACCAGGTGACCACTGTCACTTCTCCATTTGACAGAGGAGGAAAACCAAGACTCAGAGAAGAGAAGTGACTGGGAAAAGATCCACAAGACTACTCAGTCTCTGGTTCCTAACTCCAAGTCCAGGCCTCCTCCCCTCTCCGGGTTATCTGGCATTTCCAAGGTCTTGGGATGTTTTCACAGACATTGACCTTCGTGGGGAGCCACTTAGGCCACAGGGACATGGTTCTCTCCACTTGACTTGTGGTTTGGGGCTCTCAGGTCTGTGCTGAATCAACACCCGGAGCACAGGGCCAGAGACTCGACACCAACTTCTGAGGCAGCAGCCAGCAGAGCCTTAGGGGCTTCCCTCGGCCTATCAATGCATCATTCAGACAGCTGAGGTCAGCTCCCCTCCCTCCCAGGAAAAGAGGATGGAAAGAGCCTGTTTGCTAGCATCCTGAGGAGCAAAGTCCATCTTGTCCCAGAGCCTGCTTAGAGCCATGACTGGTAGAACTGGACACTAAAAGAGGATTACAGGCATCTTATACATTACATTCATTTCTTTGCACAGTTTTTGAACATATACTACTCACTAAGTCCTCACACTGTTATCCTTATGGTATGTGGGCCATGAATACTTGAGGAATGAATGAATGAATAAATGAATGATCAGAATCTTATTCTTCAGCTCATAGAAATAACAGTGACTATAACCCATTGAGTACCCATATGGAACTCACCATGAGAACAAAAAGTGTAGCTCAAGTGGTAGAGTACCAGCCTAGCCAGCATGAGGTCTGAGTTTAATCCCCAGTGCTTCCAAAGACAATGAAACATTGTCTTTGCGGAGGCAGGTGCTATCAATCTCAGTATTATCAAGGAGGGCAGAGATTAGGTAAATTTGCAATTTTCCTTGCAAATCGGCAGGGCCCTGGTTAAGCCCAAGGCTAGTCTTCATCCCTCAGCATTTTTTCTACTTGGAAGACGAGAGGGCTGTGTAACCCAAACTCAAATGAGAAGGCAAAACAAACCAAGCAAATCTGCACATACCACTATCATCTTCTTTCACATACAATTCTAATGAACGGCTCAGCCTCTTTCTCTGAGACCCAGCAGTTGAAAAGGACTGGAGTTCAAGAGTGGCTTTTCTTAATAGGAAGGGCGGGGGAAATGATTCAAACAATAACCATCAAAGGGTAGGATCCTGGGGCTCTGAGTGTAGGGGCAGATGGCTGGGCCCACACCAACTGTATTGTACCTGGAGTACCATTAGTGACCGTGAGTTGCCAGAACGTTTGCATTGTGCAAGAGATAGCAATGGTCTCCACCACTAACTTTGGCTCTGAGTCAAAAAAGAGTCAGAGCTGTTCCACCATTTCCCAGCAGAAGGATTTAAGCTCCTCAGTTAAACTTCCTTATCTAAGATGGAGATGATGACCTCCCCCTCCACCCCCTGAGGCTGGTACATTCTTCAAGTTCTGGAGGTGAACGCTCTCCTAACGGTAGCCAAGGTCACTGACAGTGTCTGCTAGTTCCACTCCACAAGTCCGGAGAGTGGGCAACACATTTCTTGGATATTTTCCAGTGATGTGGGGGGAAATAACACAACTCTGCAGTACTTCAAGGATTATGTTTCATTATCTAGAAACGTCCTTCTTAGGTCTGCTTTAAAAGTAATGCACAAGGAATCACAACTAACTGAGCAACTCTAGGCCTTGTGACTTGTCTTAAACATTATCTGTGATCTCCATCCACAGGTCTAAAGGAACAGCATAGCAAGACCCTGGGTAGAGACTCTGAAATCTAGAAGCCACCAGTTCAAGATGGGGTCAAGGGTTCTTTGGGGCCAAGCTGCTAAGACACTGGAGCTTCCACCTCTGGCCAGCCCTCAGGGTGGGAGGGGGGGGGTCATTAAGGCTTCTAGTTGGTATCCTGAAGGATACCACCTGGGAGCTTGTGGCTCTCTTGGTAGAAGACCCGGCTGTTGGAATCAGCACCAACATCGTTATTAATTTAATTATCATCTACTGAGCACTTACAGGAGAGCAGGCATTGTGTAGGCAGAGCAGAGGACTCTGCGATCTATAAATTCCTGCCCCCAAGGAGCTTGTAACCTACTGAGGGAGAGCCCTGTGGTAAGATGGAAACAAGAAAAAGATTATCAACCCTCACCAAGAACCTCCACCTGCCAGGCACTGAAATACTTATTTTCACCCTCACCACAATCCAATCTTAAAAACTCCATTCTACAGATGTGGAAGTACTTGGTTATCCAAAGTTCTCAACTGACAAGTAGTGGAACCAGAATTCATACTCAAGCATTGACTCTAGGATCCATACCTACAACCCCAGTGTATCAGGTAGCTCTAAATGCCACTTGAGAACACAGTGGCAGAGGTGGGATCCTGGGGGTATAGTGAATCTGGGGACCAGCTCGCTCACCAGCTCACCAGCAGAAGGCTCTGAGTTTCTTTTAAGGCAAAGCTCTCTTCCATGGAGGAGAGCTGATCTAGTGAAGGTGCATGGCACCATCTTGGGTAAATTCCACTGGACCAGAAGGGACCAGAAATAGCATGGGAGATTGAGGAGAGGATGGTCAAGAATGGCGTTCACAGAAGAGGCAGCTTTTAAAACAGGCTTGGGAGGAGCAGGCAGTTTTCACTTCAAGGAAAGAAGCAAGCTGAAGCAGGCAAGACTGAAGACCCAAGATAAAAAGGCTGAAGGCCCATTTGGACCTGGAGAGTGGAGTGGAGTGGGACATAGCCGTGTGTGTGTGTGTGTGTGTGTGTGTGTGTGTGTGTGTGTGTGTGTGTGTGTGTGTGTGTGTGTGTGTGTGTGTGTGTGTGTGTGTGTGTGTGTGTGTGTGTGTGTGTGTGTGTGTGTGCTGAGCCCAGGGCAGCCTTTGAAGACACTCTCTGTAGAGAAAGTCAGAAGATAAAGGCAGCAGAATCTCACCACTGAACTGGCTTGTTTCCTTTCCTTTCTTCCACAGGGCCCTGGAAAGCAAAAGGTATGTGCTGCTGAATATGAAACAGGCCACAGGCACAACCATTACAGCACCAGGTGTCAGCAGGGGCAGACGGACCAAATGCATGCACACACGCATACAGCAGGTAAGAAGCCAATCTGAGTCTCCAAGGATTGCATAATTGCTAGTTGATGTTAAAATAGCTGATGAAGAATCTACTTTAATCTTTTCTGAGTGGGCGCTGAAGAGCATTGCTTAGATATTTCTGACAGAATCATTAACAAGAAATAAGCTGCTAGCACCAAACTGCAAAAAAAATCACCAGCTTCTAAAACTGCCACCATCTCCTCCATCCTCCTGGATGTCTGTGGTGGCCATGGGGCAGGCACTTCCTCTCCCACATCAGCAGACTGTACACAGCCTTTGAAATGATCCCAGTTCCCTGCCCTCAAAGAATGTGCCAGGCTCTTTGCCGATCCTCGCATCTAGCCTGTGCCTGCTCTTCCACCTTTGGCTCAAATTGTACTGAAAATAATCTCTTTATCTAGGTACAAAGTGTCTTCTCAACCAGCTTTTGAATGTCTTAAAAGAAAGGTTAGGCTTGTGTTCCTATCAAAATCCTGTGCCTACATGTCCAAAATAGACCAGAGAGCAAATATTTGGCCATAATGCTAGATAATGAATGAATCTATGATTCTTGAATATCTACTAAAACTGGCTTCTAATAATATAGTCATTAAATTATTTATCTGCATATTCCAAATTTCTAGAGCAGAGCTTGGAAGAAAGTAAGGTCAGCTGGGACTCCTTTTGAAGCCATCTTTTTTTTTGGACAGTGCTGGGGATTGAACTCTGGGCCACTACCTTGCTAGGCAAGCACTCTATCACACTCCTAGTCCTTTTGAATTTTTTAGCTTTTTTTTTTTTTTTTTTCGGATGAGGTCTTGTGTTTTTGCTCAGTTCAGCATCAGACTGCATTCATCTCTTACCTTTTCCTCCTGAGTAGCTGGGATTATAGCTGATCCTCACCACACCTGGTTTGGAGTCATCTTAATTCCAACTTGGAAGGAAGGCTTCATCCATTGATGGGATATGAAGGACAGGTGGAAATTAGGCAAATGGAAGAAGGGGCAAAGGTTGGGGAGGGAAGAATCATGCAGGCAAAAAGAGACAAGCAAGAACAAAGCTTGGGGATATGGATGGGTGTGGAGATAGTCAAGCTTGTAGGTCTCATGGCAGGTGGAGAAGTTTCCGTAAGATGGCTTCAGGGTTTTCCTCTGCTGAGGACAAGGACTATCATCCAAGTGGGAGGAAGGAGGGGGAGGCAAGAGGTTTCATAGTAAGAACCAGGTTTGAAGGAGTCACTGAGGAGAATGGATAGGATGCAGGAGAGGAACCGGAAGCCCTGCTGGGGAGAGCTGTCAGAAAGCACACTGTCCCTTCCACCAGAGGGCCGGTGAAGGCAGATGGACGCGGCCTGGCCTCATCCCATGGGCAGGCAGAGCAGGAGCAGGGAGAAATTCTTACCCAGAGAAGGGCTGAAGTGACAGTCTGTAGCCGCCCTGATGAGGGAGAGGGGAAAGCGTCCCCAAAGCAAAGCGGTCAGGCCCTCAGAGCAGGTGTGGGTGCCAGTGACCAGAAGGCTCTGGAAGGCTCAGGAAGGAGGTGCGGGTGTTGAGGCTCCCATGCTCAGACACCCCCAAAACAGCCCCTCTGCTTCTAGGGACCACAGGAATGAATCTTAACCCCCATGTTAAAATTGGAGAGGGCCGGGGCCTAACCCAACGTCACAGAAAAACAAGGGGAGTTTGAAGTGAATGGGGTGACACCCGGGGCCGGCCCACCCCTTCCCCTAGAGATGACAAGGAGAGGAAGAGGAGGTGCAGGCGGGGGTCGGGGCCACCTCCCCAGGGCAGGGCCACACCTGGCACACCTGAAGCACCTCCGCCCTGCGGGCCCAGCTCCTCCACGGCCTCCCGCCCCGCACTGGGCAGCCAGGTTCCGGTCAGGCCGGAAGCACGTGGCCCCCACCCCGGGCGGTTGCCAGGGCGACGGGGCTGTTTACCAGCTGGACGCAGCCAGCCGGGCGCAGGCGGATGGAGTGCAGAGGTGAGCGAGGCCTGCTGTCAGACCCGAGGCCTCCCCCCACCCCCCACCCCCGCCTGCACGGGGACCCCAGGAGAGGGCAGAGCCCCAAACACCCCACAAACCACCCGGGTTGGACCCCCTCAAACCTGGCCCCAGGGGGGCGGAAATCCCTGGAAGACTGGAGCAGGAGGAGAGTCAGGCTCTGCAGCCACCGCTGAGGAGCCTAGGAAAGCTTTGGGGCCATGCCCTTCCGGAGGGGGTACACAGCGCCTCTGGACACAGACCAAGGACACAAAAAGACGTCTTTGTCACACAGGCCGGAGCCTCCCCCAGACCTGTGCCCTTTGACCCGAGTCAATTTTCTTTTTCTAGAAGTTCTTTCTTGCCCCCTCTCCCCAACCCCTCTGCACTTTTAGGTTGTTTGCTTGTAGTGCTGCCAAGAAAAGCAGAAGGGATTGAGTTATCTTTGCCTCCCTCCCCCTCCCCTTTCTGCCCAGAAATCTTCCCCAAGTTTCCTCCCAAGGTTTTCTCATTCTCCAGCCAACTACCATGTTCTAATTGGTTCTTGCAGCCATTTCATCCTGCAGGCCTGCCTTGAGGGGAGGCTGGTAGGGATTGGGGGGGGGGGGGGTGGCAGGAGGTGATATTAACTGATAAACAGTTTTAAAAGACCAATTCAAATGTATGCATCTTGCGATAAACCAGCAGATGGTATGTGGGTGGTTATATTTTATTGCTTTTATTGGTTTCAATTTGGGTTGTGAAATAGACTGGGCTGACCTTGAGATAGGTTTTGTGGGTGCCCTTGGAATGCAGAGATCTTGTTTGCATGTCTCCTATCTGATTTTCCTTCCTTCCAGGGGAGCAGGTGATAATCTTAAGGAATGGGCACCTGCCCTCCTGGCAACAGTGCCCAGTGTTTGATTCTTGCCTCCTAGCAGGCCACTGCAGCCAGCCCTTATGTTTAAGTAAACAGGCCACTTGCCTATTCAGCTGGCAGCTTGATGGATGCCTACGCCCAGATCTTGTCAGATCACTTGGTGGTTGGGTGTCTGCCAGAACTAGAGGTGGTAAAATGCACTGAACAGGCTTAAGGATGGCTGCTTCAGAGGTCAGCCTGGACCCAGGATATTAGGCAGAGTTTGGGACCCAAGGTGGCAATAGAAAAGGCACAGTTGGAAGCTGAGTGCCAGTGGCTCAGGCCTGTAATCCTAGCCACTCAGGAGGCTGAGATCACGGTTCAAAGCCAGCCCTGGCAAGAAAGTCTGTGAAACTCTTATCTCTAATTGACTAGCTCCAAAAGTGGAGCATCAGTCTTGAGAAAAAAAAAATGTGGGAACAGCACCCATGCCCTGAGTTCAAGCCCTCATACCACATACACCAAAAAAGAAAGGCATAGTTGGCTTGGCTTACCCAAATACTAGTTTTCCCCACCTCCCCAGCCCTTGCACTAGATTCTGGGAGAACTAGTGTTTCCCCCATGTAGCAGATGGTCACTACCCTCAGGAGGAGGCAGTGGGTTACGAAATCAGGTTGGATATAACGGTTTTACCTGAAGGAGGTGTTAAATCTCTAAATAGCCATGAGTGGGCTTTTGGGAATTAGTCATAATTGAAGTTTTTCTCTTGAGCTAGCTTGCAGTCATGTTATCTTATGACCAGAGTGTCTTGATTATGACACCCCCTGAACATAGCTAATTATATAGTACCAAAAGGTATAGCAAGTGCATGCACATACTCAAGTTTTACTGTTAAAAATAATCTAGCAAGAGTGCCTGTAAGAACACATGACTTTCCCTCACATCAGGGTTGTTAAGGAAGAGGTTTCTAAGTTACCAAACTTACTGACAGATAAACCTTCCTGAGGCATGTGTGGGTGTTGGAAGCCAAACCTGTGATGATTATGTGGAAGCGGTGGGCAAATTAATAGCCATTCCCCTGTGGGGGAGGGTGGGTAGGATAGGGGCTGGGGGTGGATCTTATCTTTGGCTCATCATCGGACAGGTCTGTCTTTCTCCTGTCACCCTGATGTAAAGGGCAGAGCTGCTTCCTGCAAGTGAAAGACTTGAGAAGTGAACTCAGAAAAACCACAGCCCTCACAGAATGCAGATGAAGTGAACATGGACAGGGGCAGGTGTTTCAGGTGTCAAAACTTTGCTAAGGAAGTGGCTCCTAAGATCCTGGCAGCCAGATTGGGGTGGGAACGATAGGCAAGAAGTGGGAAGTGAGAGTGGAGAGAGACTCAGGCTGTGAGTGTAATGAAGCAAACATGAGACCTTTAAAATGCTAGAAGAAAAGTAGAAAGTATCTGGGATGGGATGAGAGAGGCCAATGTTGTTAATAAACTTTTGTCTATACATACAGACAGCTGATGGAATGGTAAGGCCCCTAATAGAAAAGGTAGCTCTAGGAATACTTGGATTAAAAAATAAAATAAAATGCAAAATGGAGGATCACTGTCCAAGATTTCGGATGCAACAGGATGTTGGGAACACGCAGGAACTGTGCGCTTGGGTTCATGGTGGTTTGGTGGTGGAGAAGAGGAAATGCCCTTATGTTGTTGGGTTGTGTTCTCAAGTTCTCCTTTGATTCAGGAAAGCCAGAGACCAGGATGCCAGGCAAAGTGGGGATGCATGCCATGTTTATTCAAAGCTGTCTGTCTGCACAGTAATCACTGGCAGTAGCAACAGCCTCACAGTCCCCAGCATCACAGCACACTGGTCTACAGCATCACAGCACACTGGTCTACCCCAGCATAGATTCACAGCCTGCATTCCATCATAGACACCACCTCTGTCCTTCAGGGGCAGCTCGCTGTCATCCCACGCTTTAACCTGCCCTTGTGTGGTGCCTGTTTATACCCTCTCTAGATAAAAGTGGCATCTGGCCAAGGATGGCCACACAAGGCCAGTCTCAAGGCTACATACTGGGCTACCTAAGATGGCACATGCATACGTGACTCAAGGTTACCTAGATTTGCTGAGCCAGCTGACTCCCAGTCCTTGGGATGTGCAGGCCCTCCAGAGGCCATAGTGAGAGAAGTCTGACTCCATTTACCCCACACTGGGAAAGTGCAGAGTGGCAAGATTAGAGCATACAGCCTGAGGGGTGGAATGACACTGGTCAACAAGGGGAACTTGGAGGAAGTGGATTTGAGGTGAGTGAAGACATGGCCTTGGAAGGGAAGTGAGCAGTTCAGGAAGTTTTCCCACAGTTTTGAGGTAACTGCATAGGAGGTAGCTGACTGGAGTCAACATCCTGGTGTTTCTGGGACTAAGACCCAGGTTAGCAGGGACTAGGAGACACACCACCAGCACCCTGGGGAATGTTCTAGCAATAGGTTCCCAGTCACACCAAACCCAAAACAAAACCTCTTTCCTTTTTCTCTAAGGCCTCAGAATTGTGCATTGCTTTGGGTTGGGGGACTGAAGTTCACAAGCATTTAAATAATATCTTTGAGGTCATGTTGCTAATCTGCTCAATGAGGAATAGTTGTGTATCAGAAAGGTAGGATGGTCGTATGGCTGGCTGGTGTCAGAGCCTGAAATAGACTAACCTGAGGTCCTGTGACTCCTGGTCCTCTGTCCTTGTGCCCACACATGCTGTTTCTTGGGGACCGTGGGTTGGGAGGAAATCACCAGAAAATCTTCAGTAAGCAAGAGAGTAAGCTGGCCAGCCTGTGAGCAGAGAAAGCATTAATCACCACGGAAGTCCCTACAGCGGGAGGCAAGGGAGTCCAACAGGAGGTCAGCCACATCTTAGGAAAGGTATACGGGGGGACAGGAGGAGGAGGTGGGAGGTGCTGGTGCTGAGGGAGTGGGGAAGGGTGTTGAAACGTGTGACAAGATGTGGTAGTTCCATTCCCCCAAGACTGAACGCTCCCATCGGGCTTCAGTGCTTTGCTAATCCACAGGGCTTCAGGGTGTTGGCAAGGTAGTGGGCAGCAGACAGACAAGATGTGATGTGCCTGGAGAAAGCCAAAACTGCCCCTTCAAGAAGTGGCTTACTGGCTGGGGCATGGCTCAAGTGGTAGAATGCTTGTCCCGCAAGCATGAATCCCTGAGGTCAAACCCAGGACTGCAAGAGGAGAGGAGTGACTTGTTTCTAGTACAAAAGAATACAAAACTAGATGTCATAAGACATGGATTCTGTTTCAGACTCTGTCACCAGCCAGGAGTGTGACCACCAGGCAACTACCATATCTTCTGGCTCACGTGAGCTGCTGAATTAACGTGTACCCAGAGTTTCCTTAGACTAGCTTTAGGACAGCAGGGTTCAACAAATTATGGCCCACAGATAAAAACTGGGTGATTTGTTACCTTGTGTCTCATGGGCTAAGAATAGCTTTTATGCATTAAAACACCAAGTTCAAAGACATGTATATGGTGACCTATGAAAATGACATGAAATTCAAATATCAGAGTCCCACAAGAAGTTTGATTGGTTGTCACCAACCCATTCATTTACTTATTCTCCATGGCTACATTGAAAGACAAGAGTTAGGATAGACTTACATGGGCTATGGAACTCCAAATAGTTACTCTCTGGCTCTGCCAGGAAGGGCTTGTCCACCCCAGCTCTAGAATCTAAGCACCTTCCCTGTAAGCTCTGGTAGGAGGGCCTTCTGGATCCTCTCCTCCTAGCCCAGTTAGGGACTAATATTGCATTAAGCAATTTGTGCGGAGCCTCCTATATTAGCAAGGGTAAACCAAAAGATAGAAGGAAAGTGAAGGACAGACAAGCTATGGGTGAATAGGAGAGGAGGAAGGAGGAAGGCCTGTGGCAGAAGGAAAATGGGGTCTCAGAGTGTGTTTTTCTCCAGTGAATAACATGCTAGGGTGGGCCATCTAACGGGCTGTGACGGGAGAAGTGACTGCCTGCTCTGGCGTAGAGCTGAGCCCGGATTCCTGGCTAAGATTGAGTGGTTGCCCAGTTGTCTCATGGTGCAGAGGCCCTAACATGGTTACTTTCCCTCTCTTTGCAATGATGGCCATTGCTGCCACTGACTATATCTCCATCTGTCTTCGTCCATGGGTGGTATAGGGCTGCCAACGCTGGGATCCTGCTAGTTCCCTGAGCACAGCAAGCTCTGCCTGTCCCAGGATTTCACCCAGCTGCTCCCCTCCCCTGGACACTTTGAGACCGGGCTTGACAGCCTAGAGCCCAGGGGCCCAATCTTGCCTGCCCCATTTTTTGTGAATAATATCATGCTTGAACACAGCCCCACATTTGTTGAAGGCACTGCCCACAGTGACTTTGTGCAGCAATGCTGGAGCTAAGCCGGTGCAGGCAGGACTCTGTTTCCCAAAGCAGAAAATATATACAGAGAATGTTGGCTGACTCTGGGTCTAGACTGTCTCAGGACATATTCCCTTTCATCACCATCTTCTCCAGCTTAAAGGCCCCTCCCCATACGAGCAAGAATTAGTCCCCTACCTTAATCCCTTGCCTAGTTACTATGGGTTAAACCTGTTGTTTGTCATTCTAATAATTTAAGTTGAAAGGACTTTGGTTCACTGATATATTCCAAGTGTGAGGAATGAATGAATGAATGAATGAATGAATGAATGGTAGCTAGTATCACTCCCTCCAAATGCCAGCAATCCAGAGAGAGACCCCATCAAGCTTGCTCTGAGCACTTGCAGGGAAGGGCCTTGTGTGGATCCTGGTGTCCCAGGAAAGTTAACCCAAGGCCTCTGTTTTTGCTTCCTTAGGGGCCCTGAGAAGCAATGGCCACAGAAGGCCCTGTGACCATAGCACCACCAGAACGCATCCCTCTTAACACAGCAGCTGAGAGCTCATCTGCTTTCATCTGGAAGCCAAACTCACTGAAAATGCATGTCATCAGGCCCAAGTCTGCCAAAGGCCGCAAGCGGCCCAGTCTGCACAAACCACAGGGCACACAGTCAGGCTCTCACTGCGGACCTTCCTCTCCACCACCAGCCAGTTCCTCTGAGTCACCAAGCAGTCAGAAACCAGGAGCCTGTACACCCACATCTCCAACGCAGGGAGTCCCAGATGAGTTCCCCGAGCTACTGCAAGTACCCATGGGGGCCTCCTCTTCCCTCAATAAGTACCCAGTCCTCCCATCCATCAGCAGAAGAGGCCTGAAGGAGGAGGCTTTGGGTACAGTGGGAAGGAAGGCTAGCTCCCTACAACTAAGCAGCATTCAGGCTCTTTATCAAGAGGAGGCCTGCACCATGAAGACAAAGAAAGAAGATTCTAGAGTTCCAGCTCTTGCCCTAGAGAGGAAGTTTGTCATCCACACCAAGAGGCAGGGCAGCCCCAGGCCTGGAACCCTGGAGGAACCCTCAGACCAAGAACCCAGGCTGCTGCTTGCTGTCCGATCGCCATCAGGCCAGAGGTTTGTGCGTCACTTCCGGCCCACAGATGACCTCCAGACCGTCCTTACTGTGGCCGAGCAGAAGAATAGAACCACCTACCAACACTGCAGCATCGAGACGATAGAGGTGCCCAGGAGACGGTTCACAGACCTCACCAAGTCTCTGCAAGAGTGCGGCATCCCCCACAAGTCAGTGCTGGGCATCTCTCAGGAAGACGGGGAGGGGAGCCCCTGAGCCCACAGGCGCCCACCTGGAGTCCCCGTCTGTGAGCCAAGAGCACGCTTGTGTGGCGAGGCCTTCCATGCAGCCTGGCTCCAAGTGCCGTGTGAGCCGGTGCAGCTGTGGCCCGTGGGCCTCATGTCCACAGTATGTCCTTGGGGGGTCAGACACATCTGCACATGCACCAAGCGCCTGAGGAATCCCAGCCTTATGCTCCCTCCTCCTCTGGAGCAACCACAAGTTCCAAGGCTGTGCCTGAAGCAGCTGCAACCAGGATATTTCTTCCCAGAGTGTTGGCTCTGTCTAACACAGTCCTTTCCGGAGCACCTGCCGCCTGCACAATGAACTCTGATTCTCTTAAAGCCAATGTTTGCCTTTCTGTATTTGCTGCAGGATTAAATACTTCCCAGAGGGATTGCAGTCTGGTAAATAACCAGGGTCCAGGAAATTTCTAAGTGGCATTTGTATTTCTCGCAAGTATCTTAAGGATTAACAGACTACTGACCCTATCTTTAGAAGCAGCAGCTCTGCTGGGCCAGGAGACCAGAGCTGCTTGGGGATCCCAACCTGTGTGTACATCAAAGGGGAGAGCAGGCCTGCAATCACAAATCCCCAATACAGCAATGGCAAGTCAATTGCTTCCACAGCTGTGGATGTGCCGCTGGCTACTTCAATTAGAAGCTGGCTAGCTTCCCCAGTCTTGGTGGCTCCGGACTATGCAGAAGTCTTCCAAAGCAGAGAAAAGCCAGGGTACTCTGTTCTCCTTGCCTTTAACATGCACAAACTTAGAAGTCTATACGAGATCTACTAAAGGCGCCTTGGCTTATCTGGGTATGGACAAATCATTTCCTTCCCCAGGCTCAGTATCTGGACGTCTTTAAACATAGAAGGTCTTTTGAAGCAACCATGTGCGTTGTGGTCTGAGATCCAGGGCAAGGCAGGCACCTTGCGGGAGCTGCTCTGCGGTGCCTCTGCTGAGACCATGGCCACACAGCTGGCAGACTGGCATTGGATCACTTAGTCTGACTGCCCTGAAGACTGTCAAGTGTTGTCTGTGCCTCTGAGGCGGGAATGTGGATAGTTTGCCAAAGTTCTCTAGAACTGCAGATTCAGCCGGACTCCCACAACTCATCTGGAACCCTCTATGGCCCAATCCTCATGCAGAGTAGACTTGGGCACCTTATCCCACAGGGCACAGCCTTCACACAATCCTGGGGACCAGTACATACCCCCACCTCCTAGGCGCACACCGGAGGTAGGAAGCAGGCGTTCCAGAAGCACATGACAAGGGCATCCTAGAGCAGAGAAGGCCAGTGGTTAGAAATTTACCCTGTCCTCTGCAACCACACTTGAGACCAGCTTGTCTTGTCCCCTGTGGCCCACCCCACATAGATCACTCTATCCTGGGTCCTCTCTGAAATGTTTGCCAAATGCCTTAATGCCAACCTGGTCTAGTCAACAGCTCCTCTGATTAGAAAGGTCAGCTAGGCCTGGCAGGGCCCTGGACAGGCCCAGGCAACTGGCCACTTCTTTCAGTCCCTGACTGTGGCAAGAAGGCCAGTGAGTCGATCCTAGAGCCTACAACACAGGATCTTCATCTCCCACAAAGATACAAAACTCAGCCTCTGATCTCAGAGGCTAGGGAGGAGCCTCCCATAAAACCTTACCTGCTCTATGGTAAGAATAAAAGCCCACTCACCTACAACTTGGTAATTTCTCCAGCCTGGAAAGCTTTAGAACACTTGGTTGACAAGACTAGAATCTTTTGTTTTTATTCCTGATATCAGGACTTGAACTCAGGACCTTGTTGTTTTCATTAGGCTTTTTTGCTTATGTCTGGCACTCTACTACCAGAGCCATGTCTCCAGTCATCAGACTCCAGTTGGGGATTTTGCTAGTTAATTAGAGATGGAGTCTTGTAGACTTTTCTACCTGGGCCGGCTTTGAACCACAACAATCCTTACAATCTCAGCCTCCTGAATAGCTAGAATTACAGGCATGAGTCACCAGTACCTAGCCAGAGTTAGAATGTTGTGCATATTGGGGTTTGCTATTGGTATTTAGCTTAGCATTTTGTGGTGGCAGAACAAAAGGAAGGCATGAGCGTAGAAATATTTTAGGATATGTGAAGAATACTAGATTTGAACCATCATAATTTTTTTAGACAAAATACAAGCAATTAAAACTGATTTGTGTGAGACATGCTGTGGAGAAGTGTATCTTGTATTTTATTTAGCCTAAGCCTTCGGCCACCACCCCAACAGGCAGAAGTCTCCTTTGTTTTTCCCTGGGAAAGTACTAGTTCTACTGTCAGAGCCAAGTCCTCCTCCCCCACACACTTCAGATACAGTGGGACCTCCTCCTCAGCCCCGCCCCACCCCACCCCACCCCGATTGCTGCGTTTCCAACTTGCATCCTTGCTTATATCAATTGTTCCTAACTTCCAGTTTTTGAAAGCAAGAACAGACGATGCCAGAATTCTGAGGATCTTGGTGGCTCTGTGCATGTGGCAATACCAACTAGCACCTTGCCCTAAGGGGCTCAGCTGGGTCTGCATGCTACTTTTGGTGGCCCTGGGGAGGCTAGCCTTGCTCATTTTGTGGTCATAGATCTTAGTGATGTGTGTAACCAATGGTCACCGAAAGCCTCCCCTGGGCCACATATGGTGCCATGCATGGGTGTCCCAGGAAGAAAGATGAGACCACCACTGAACTTCCCACTGGAGCCTAGTGATGTCCATGGCTGCTGCCATATCCCAGGGTGAGGCCCACACTGTATCACACGAGATCTCACTTTTCCTGAAGGAGATGCTCATCCACCTCTCCCAGTGATGGCACTCAGAGGATTGTGCAGACACGAACTTGGCATGGGACAAAGCATCATGACATAGTCCCCAATAAAGCCCAATAGGTAAATTAGTCTTGGCAGCAGGAAGAGCAGCAGGAGAAATAAGTGACTCATCATTTAGAATCCAAAAAAAGAAAATGGCACCAACAGATGGCAGGTGGTTTTGACACAACAGTCTTCACCCTGAAAGTACCTGGGATTCAGTAAACAGCCACCAAGGCCAGGGCAGTTCCTGCCAAAGAGATGGCCTGTGGACAAATGACTATAGGCCAAGAGTTACCATAGAGCCCCATATAAAATGCCTCACAGAGAAACGAAGTCCATTCCAACACAGAACGTTAAAGATGAGTGACAGAATGCCAGTATCACAAGTTTGCTTTTTATTGGCTATTTCAAATAAGTTTCTAATGTCAAATAATAAATTTCTAATTTTTATATTGAAGTTTTCATGACAAACTGAGATGAAAGAGTGCTTAGTTTCCAATCCTTTGGGGGCATATTTGGGATGCCATTTTGGTGTGTTTGTGTCATTCCTGGGCCTTGAACTCGGCCTGGGTACTGTCTCTAAGCTTTTGTGTTATTTTTGTGTTCAATGCTACCACTTGATCCACAGCTCCACTTCTGGCTTTTTTAGCTGCTTACTTGGAGAGAAGAGTCTCACAGAATTTCCCACCTGAGCTGGCTTCAAACCATGATACTCAGATCTCAGTCTCCTGAGTAGTTAAGATTAGTCATGAGCCACTGGTGCCCAGCTTTGGATGACATTTTTATGTGCTAAGAGGATGTGCTTTTCTATCTTCTAAACCATCATTAAGAAAACTAGTTTGCTTTGGCATGGGTTTTGAAGGCATCCTGGAATTAAGCAGGAATATCTGATTTCCTGGTCAAAGGCAATATACCACAGTGACACTGACAGTTCAGGAACTTCTTCATCTCACATCTAGCCAGACCCCAGCCGGCCTCTCTGAAAGTCACAGGGAGGTCCGAGCCACCGTGGGGAAGCTGGCAAAGTATAGCAGACTTTGGTGATTCAGTCCTCAACACGAAAGACAGCATCTCACGGTATAAATATAAATGAGGATGTTTTATTTTTTTGTCCACATTGGTGACATGCCATTTTCCTTTCTCAATTTTATCGGGAAAGGAAAGTTCCTACTAGCCTTCTCTGTCATTCCTCCATTCCTCTACATCCAAACAACGCAGGAACCAGCAGCCCTCCTGCACAGCCTGAGTGGAGGAACAAATCTCCAGGTGTTTCTGGGCACACCTAAATTCTACCCTAAGAGACTGAATAACAGATGTAACAAATGTCAGTGGGTAAAAAAAAAAAAATCAAAACTTATTCAGCTTGTCCTTGTCAGAAGGGGCACCAAGCTGCTGGGCTGAGTAGACTCTAGAGGCTGCCAACACCATCCTGGAAGACAGAAGTTGATTGATGGTGACTCAAGACAGGGTTGCAGTCATAGAAATCAAGAGAGGTGGGTAGATTCTGTATATATTCTCCTCTTTAGGGAAAAGGCAAAAAGGGGTATGGCTTGACTAGATGAGAAGTGCCCAAGTAGACCTGGCTTGAACAGTACTGCCAGTGTGGACAGTTTCAACAACACACTAGCCAACAGTTATGACAGCAGGAAAACATATGGCTGGTAGAGGGGCAAACACGGGCTGGCAGCAAATGTTCAAATGAAGGAAGTTAATTGTTTAGGAACAAAATGTATGGAGACAAAAATCAAGGCTAACTTGCTGCTTTCATTGAGAATCCAATACAACTAAAAAGGTCGCTGATTCATTCAGCATTTAGGTACAAGTTAAAATGAGTTACCATCTAACTCTAGGGATATGATGACAGGCCAAGGCTGCTGCTAAGATGTCCTTGTTCCAGTGAGAGAGTGATCATTTATCCCTCTCTCCTCCTTTTCTTCCATCCTCATTCAATGTATTTGAATCCAGCATCTGACTGGGGATGTTTTTTCTTGGGAAGATCTAGTGACCACAGGAATGATGGTCCCGGGGGCTTACTTTCATATTCACTTGTTCTTTATATTGAGGGGAGTGTGCTGTGGAGCCTTGGTACTTGTAGTGAGCAACAGAGCACTGTCCCTCTCTGCCATGTGTCCTTTGGAACAGGAGATATGAATGTCCTGGTGCTATCCTGGCTGTTGAGTACTCCTGATAGACAGCCCTGGGTCTTCCCAAGCCAAGCCCATGTTAACAGAAACCACCTACCACCGGCAGACAAATCCCAGAAGAATGACATCACTTCCTCCTTCCCAACTGGGAGGTCTAGCCAGAAAACATCTGCTGACACCTGGGTTTGTACCCAGCCCTGGGATGCAGTGATGCCAACCCAGAGATTGCCCTGAAGACCCTGGTGTCTAAACTCACAGAGACTCTGAAGGGGCTTCCTGTACCTAGACCTCAGCACCCCTGGCTCTTCTACTCTTAATTCACTTCTCAGTAAGGCCTTCATCATATTGAACATATCGAAGTCACCTGTAATAACATTAATTCAGCAAGTATAATTAAGTACCCACACAACAGGCACATGCTAGACTCACAGTGAATAGAACAGCTCCTCCCTCAAAGTTTTCATAGAAGTTACATTTAGTTGGGGGACCCAGAAAGCATACGATATACATACTATGGAATGCATAATGGGGAGGAAGCGGATAATGGAAC